TGAGAACGCCGCAGTACATGAACGGGGTCTTCGGCCTTTCGTCTTCGCAGCGTAAGAAACTGCTGGATAGCAAGACCATTCACGACCGCGGCAGAGCCCTGTTCAGAGCAGTGGTCTCCAAAGGAGGCGTAGGCATTTGGGAACAACCGCCATCAGCCATGTCCTGGCTGGAAGAGGCTAACTTCCAAATGCTACGCGATCACCAATGTGCCCTGGTGCGGGTAGACGCCTGGAGGCACAATAAAGCCTTCTCCAAATCGTGGGCGTTCGGCTGCAACAGTTCGAAAATACAGGCCCTGGAGGCCCGTTGCAATCACTCATACAAGCACCGAAGCATTGCAGGCGTGAAAGAACAAGGGGTATACCTCAGCACTCTGACCGCTGAATACCCTCCTTCCCTGACCCTGCAACTTGCCCAGGTAGGCGTAGGACAGCAAAACAGGTTCCTTCCGACAAACACTGCCATTGCACTCCGAAATTTTCAGGACCATCACACTGGCGCCTTGCAGGCTCCCGACCTGCGACGGAGCAGGAATGCACTCTTCCGCAGACTGGTGCTGTCCCAAGCCAGAACACCCACTGCAAGCAGTCGCCAGGCCCTGGCTGCATTGGATGCATGAGCGCAAATTGGTGCCGCAAATCCTCAGACATGAGCCTCCACCTGCTGCAGGCCTTGGCCAACTCTTGGGGTGACCCAGACATGGCCCTGCTGCCATTTCTGCAACACGGGGTACCAACAGGAGCCGTGTCAGCCTTGCCACCCAGCCTTCAATGGCCGGCAAAGAAGCCAGACTCCGCCCTGCCGCCGGATCTGGAAATCTGTGAGGGCAACTGGAAGATGGCCGAGGACGAACCAGAAACCGTGCAAAGCTTGCTGCGCAATGAAATTGCCAACAACTGGATTGTAGAAACCGGCCTTAGCATCGCCGAGGCTCGGGAAAAATGGCCCTTAGGCATTGCCGTAGGCAAATTAAATGTTGTTTTTGGCAGAAGGGAAAGAGCCGCGCCTTGTCCTGGACAGCACCGTGTGCCAAGTGAATACCAGATGCCATCTACCAGAGCGCCTGAGCCTGCCAATGGCATCGGACCTGGCGCTGTCCACGCAGCCGGAGGACACTCCAGGCGGCTTCGTGGGCGCCAGCATTGACTTCAAAGCCGCACACAAACAGGTGCAGGTCCGCCCTGAAGAGCATGGCCTTCTACTATTCGCCTTTCAAAGAAAACTCTATCGCTATAGAGTATGCCGTTTTGGGGGCCGTTTCTCGGCATTCTGGTGGCAGCGCTGGCGCTTTTTTGCTTCGCCAGGTGCATGGGTTGCTGGCTTGGAAGCCCCACAAAGCCTTCCTTTTTGTGGACGACCTTCTGTGTGCACTCTTCCGAGATAGCGCGCCAGATATGTTTGCCTTGGTGGTGCTTTTCTTTTGCGCCATTGCGGCGCCAATGAGATCAACTTCTCCCACGACACCATTCAGCTCGTGTCCGCTAAGCTGACCAAGCTGGACGCCTTGATCAAAGCACTGCTGGGGAGCCGACGGGTACTCCGCAAAACACTCGAGCAGTGCATAGCACCAGCATTGCACTGCATCTGAGATCCTGGCTAGCGCCACTATACTCGGACCTCAACAGCCCACCAGGCTCGATGCACTCGATACCGCCTCAAATGTGGTCAGCCTTCAGAGCATCCTTGAACAAGGATCTCAACCAGCCATAGCCTTCCCGGCTTGTGGATCACAGTGGGCTCCAAAATCTTGGAAATTTCAGGTCGCGCCATGCACTGCCCTCAGGACATCCCGCGGGTGCCCGGCACTAGCAAACCCACGTGGGTGCGCATCGCGGACCCCAATAACCCATATACTAGCCTTTCCAAGTCAAGCCAGCAGTAAGCGGTCACTTGTGATAGCACGTTATTTTGTGAGCCAACCAAAGTGAAAAACAGTGGTTTTTCAAGCCAGCCTGTGAGTGTGTGTCATGCCGCAGCATGGGCTGAGGAGGGTGGGTGTCTCCGTTCATTCGGTGCACCTTTTTGTAATGTGGGGGTCTGTGTTGTCGTAGTTCGAATGCCATGGAAGAAGCGACAGCGTTTTGCCGAAGCGGATGTGCCAAGGGATGAACCTTTGCATATTGTTGACTCTGATTTGGTCAACGAGATTGTTCCGCTTGAACCTTCACATACTGGGCACCGGGAGACTGAACCTCTTGGCTACGAATTTTCGCCACATGAATTTGCAGACGATGGGAGTCATGATGAACCAAATCTTCACGATGAGATTCACGATTATGTCTCGAACAGCTTTTCGCAAGATTCTTTCAGTGTTGTTGACGAAGAACCAACAGGAAGTACACTGGATATTTTGTCTTCGCAGCTGTTTGTTGGACATGCCATCATAACAAACACTCAGGTCTGCGACATTACAATGCCTTGGGAAGTAGGGTCGTCGACGCAAATTTTTGGGCCTGTCGATCATGATGCAGTGCCACGGATGTTGCCTTTCCTAAGCACAGAGACAGGACTCAACAAGTCAGACCCTCAAACAGGTTCGGTTATTGAGCAGGATGGACTGCAAGGACAAGAGGTCTTCGCCAAGGTCATCAGTAGCCGAGAGGACATTTCATTCATGCAGACACGTGCAAAGCTTTTTGAGGCTGACCATTCTGCAGACATGCCCCGATTCGCATCAACTGATGGAACAACTGCAAGGGAAACTGGGTTCCGGTCGAGATGACGCGGCTCTGGAAATTATTGCAGCCACGCTCGGAACGAGGTCACCTTTTACAGTGGTCAAACGTGCAAATGCATTGCTGGAAGCGTTGAGATGGATGGCCAAGGCCTTCCCTGATCGCAGCGACATTTTTCATGAGGATCTGGCCTGGGCGTATGTCAGTGCTCTTCGCAAAGCAGGTGGAGCGCCTACAAAAGCTGCAGATTTCGTTTCAGCACTTAGGTTTGCAACTCACGTGATGGGTATCAACAGCGGGCATTTGATTGTTAGTCGCCGTGTTGCAGGACTTAGCGAGCAGATGTTTGCAGGAAAGAGATTCACGCAACAGGCCAAGGTGATCACAGTAGATCAGATGCGCTTTTTGCATCAACTGCTGGATTCTCAGGAGCTGTGTCCGTTTGACCGTGCTGTTTGCGCTTATTTGCTCATTGCAGTTTATGGACGCTGTAGACATAGTGACCTTGCTTGTGTTCATGATGCAGTGGCAGATTATGGAGAAGAGGGCGGCTACTTGGAGATCCGCACAGGCATACATAAGACAGGACGTACTGCTCAGAAGAAGGCAATGCTCCTTCCAATTCTCATTCCTGCCAAAGCTTCAATGCATGGATGGAACCATCAACGGGCCTTTGCTGAGACCCCCAAGGGATCTGTCTTGTTCCGAGCTGTGCGTGCGAGGTCTCATGTCCAAAGAGGTCACGGATATGATGCGTGGACTCCTCAGATTGCACTTCAGTCAGGAGCAGATAGAAGGTTTGTCAAGCCATTCTGCAAAGAGTACATGTCTGAGCTGGTGTGCCAAGTTTGGGCTGTGCGAAGCAGACAGGAGTTGTCTAGGAAGGCACACGAGTGCAGTGGTGTCGAGCTCTGCAATCTACGCCAGGGACTTGGTGATTGGCCCAGTGAAGCAGTTGGAAAAGGTCATCACTGAAATTGCAGCCGGGCAGTTTGTGCCAGATGCTTCACGAAGTGACTATTTCAAAACCCCCCATGATGCGGGAGAAGTAGCATGCAGCCAAGCAGTTAAGGAACAATCGTTTGAAGCTGACAGTGCAGGTCCTGTTGAGGAAATTGTGCAAAGCTCAGATGATGAGCAAGGCAGTGTCAGTTCAGCTGATGATCAAGCCAGTGATGGCGTGCAATCCGATGTTGGAGGTGATGAGGGAAATGCTACACCGGCCATTCGCCAGCGGCCAGTCATTAATGTTGAGAAATGGTTTGTTCACAAGAAGTCTCGCATCTTGCACTTATGCAAAATGGATGAAGCTACCTACAGTGAAGGGAGCCGACTCACTGCATGTGGCCGCAGATTGAATTCCAATTATGAGGAGTCTCGTCAAGAGCACGAGGCAAATGCAGATTGCTCACTCTGCAGGAAGCGGTGGTGATGCTTCGAATGCGAAGCTCAATGTGCAAATGTGCACGGCCGATGGGCCATGAGATATCACCTCGCCATGTGTCACAAAAGGCAGATTGTGCCGCGCCAATGGGCGAGAGTGAGTGGCCGATGGGCGTTGAGTGCATTTTGAATCAAGTTTTGATTCGGCACAGAGAGGCTCAAGAGTTAGGACAGGGTGCATTCATGTCATTGAGGTGCCTTGTTTCGTCAACCCCTCGTTCCGAATTTCTTTTGGGTGAGCTTCCATGTGGTCTTTGACATGTGCCATGTTTTGAATGGTTTGGTTTGTCGTACGGTTGTCACGTTTAGTACTGCTTGCTTCGCGCTTACGCCATGGCCTCGCTTATAGATTCAGAGGCTCATTTCTCAAAGAGAGCAGGCGAGGTGCGTCTTGGAGATGCAGCACTGCGGACATTGCGAAGGCTGGGCCTGAACTCCATGGGAAGTTTGGCTTATGCTCATGGGCAACCTGGGCAACCATTAGATGAAGCAAGTTTTACAAATTGGGTACAGTCCACAGTGGACGCAAATGTTTCGCTGGGCGACATGTCGGCGATCAAGCATCTGCTCTTTTAAAGCCAAACACTGGTCCTGGCGGCATTGTGGGAGCAAGTGGTGAACCCAGACAGTGCTGCCCTGAAGAAGGTGCCGGAAGCCGAAAGGGACCGCAGGATGAAGCACCTTAGGGATACCTTGATAGGTGTTCTGATTGAAGGACCGATGGAGCCGGGCCACGCCTTGCTGGATTTGTGCGCCCGTGAATCTGGTCAGCTGAGATACATACCACCTGAGCGTTGTATCTCCCGGGTTCATGAAGTTACCACAGCCAGCAATCCGAAGAAACAACTGGAATTTGCGACAAGCTATCGATCAAAGAGCAGGTGGTGGTGCCAGACATGCAGGTCCACGATTCATTGAAGCTGTTGGAAGCGTTCAGGCGCAGAGGTCTGGCTTATGCGTTTGCAGAGGCGGTCTCGTTTTTGGACTATGAGCGTTACGTGAATTCACTGTTTTCGCACTGTCATCGTGAGCCGCCCCCAGGGTATTCTCGTTGTGCTTTGCCCCAGCTAGTACAAGCCGACAAGCTCGTCTTTACCAAGCTCATCGAGGACGGTGTGAAGCCAAGGCGGGATCCAACGGATGCTGCATTGATGAAAGCCCTCGAGAGCTATCAGGTCAGTTTTGCATTGCTGCCTCTGCCAACTAGGACCGTGATTCCGCAAGCCAAGAAATCAGAGGGCAGTCATGACCCACCTGCCAAGAAGCATAAAGGTGGAGGTGCCTCGAAGGGTAAAGGCAAATCAAAGGCAAGTGGCAAGGGCAGGGGGCCAGCTGTTCCGTATCAGATTCTGCAAGCTGGTGGCAAAGGCCGAACGCCCGATGGCGAAAGCATATGCTATGACTATGGGCTTGGCAAGTGTAAGCATGGTTCCGATGGAGGAGAATGCAACAAAGGGAGGCATGTTTGCCCGGTGTGCTTCGAGCCTCACACACTTGCTCAGCACAAGAAGTCCTCTAAGTGATCGATGTGGGGCAGCCGCAGCTGCCCGTGAACCCTGTTGAGCTGCTGAGTGCGCCTAGTGGCGAATGTGTGCCAAAGCATTTCATGGGTAAATTTGAAGCATCTCAACAGGACGCACTCGTGAGGCCACAGCCCGCCACAGAAGAACTCGATGTTGCAAGTTTGACCAATCCTAATGATAATCCTCTTGAAAATCTCACGGATGATGTGACTCCACGTGTCAGTGTGAACTTGACAAACCCAACGAGCGACGTTCTTGACGAATCCCTGACAACTCAGGAAATGAGTGATAGTCCTCATGTGCAGGGGCCTGTGCATCCGCTCTCCATCCCGACTTTGCACGAGTCATCCAGTTATCATTGAAATCTTTGTCGGATCAGCCAGAGTTACCGCGTGTTTAAGGAGCCTTGGGCCTTAAGCATTGCTTTGGTGTGGACCACGTTAAGATCAAGTCATCTGGGCCAGTAATGGTGGCAGACCTCACCACAGATGAAGGCATGGAACTGTTGTGGACCTGGTTGCGGAATCCAAATGTGCTTGGTATCTTTGCTGCACCGCCATGCGGAACTTGTAGCCAGGCCAGAACCATCGCCCTTCATGACGCGAGGGGTCGCAAGCTGCCAGGCCCCAAACCATTGCGCTCTGCACTCAAGCCGAATGGCTTTGCGCATCTTCAAGGCCAAGACGCTCTCAGGGTTTCCCTGGCTAACCGCCTGTACATGCTCTTGCATCATGTACTTGTCTTTTGCCACCAGAGGGACATGTTGATTTGTGTGGAAAACCCTCGTTCATCTTTGTTTTGGCTAACGGATGCATGGAAAAAGCTCCCTTTCCGTTTACAGTTCACCGCGCATCAGGCATGCGCATATGGCGGCAGACGACCAAAATGGACTGTGCTTGCTCACAATGTCCCGGGCATTAGCAAAATCCGCAAAGAGTGCCCAGGTCAGTCCCCGTCACACGTGCACCTGCCTTGGGGACTGACTTGGAAGCATGGCAAACGGGAATTTGCCACGAAGGAGGAAGCTGCATACCCTATGTTGTTGGCACTTGAAATTGCGTCTGCGTTCGCTTCAGAATGTGCCAAAAGAGGTTGGCAGCCTCCCGCAGTTTCGATCGATGACGCTGTCCAACGTTTGCAGTTGTCGGCCAATAAATCACAGCACTCTTCCATCCACTGGTTGCGTGCAGCCGCTGGGGTGCAGTCACGTGCCAGCAAAATGCCGCCGCCTGTTGCTGAGCATTGCCAAATTCTTCAAGTGTATGGGCCGTTAAAATTGCTGCAAGAAGCGCCCTGTGAGCCCATGAAGCGCTTGAAACAACCTTGGCGGCTGCCTGCCGGCCTGTGCGCCAATGTGGAAGAAATTCCAGCAGAAGCACAGCTTCTGCGGCGCACACCAGTTCGGTTAAGCGGGGGAGGTGAAAGCAGTGAAAACTTTGTTCAGGCTTGGGGTGTACCCTTTTCGCCACGGGCTTTGTAGATGCTGCTCTTCGTGCAGGGCACCCTAAATCCCTATTTGCAAAATTGCCAGAGCCTTTGGCCTTAGCCGTGGCAGTGCATGGCCGTGACACGGTGGGTGTCATCGCGCAGAAACGAGCAGCCTGGTGTAGGAAGTGGACACAGCGAGCCTTGGAGTTGCAAGAGGAGGAAAACAATTTGAAGTGCAAGCTGGCGCCACATCTGCGCAGCCTACTGTCTGGGAAGCGGCTAATGCTTTGGCGTGAAATGTTGGTCGAGTGTGATTACCCAGACATGGAGGTTTTTGATGAACTGGTTTCAGGCACAGCTCTCACAGGGCCTGTGCCAGCTACTGGAATTTTTGAGGCAACCTTCAAGCCTGCGTCAATGACGGAAAACCAGCTCAAGCAACAGGCTAGAGCGAGCAGGGTAGCCATCATAAATGCGGCCAGAACTTCTGAGTATGCCAAAACGCTTGTGGAAAAAGATCATGGGTGGCTCGTGGGGCCCATCGAAGTGGCCGACCTTCCTGACCATGCCATCGTGAGCCGTAGGTTTGGCCTGAAGCAGGGTGCCGAAGTCAGACTCATCGATGACTTCAGCGGATCAGGGGTGAATTCGACGGTACAAGCTTGTGAGAGTCCGAAGCCGCATTCGACAGACGTGGTTGCGGCGCTGCTGCTGCAGCTGGCTCGTTCCACCAATGGTGGAGGCATGTTAGGGAAGTGCTTTGACTTGTGTGCAGCGTATAGACAAATGGGGGTGCGCCCGTCGTCCCTCTGGGCTTCCTTTGTTGTTGTGTTCAACCCCCATCTTCGCTGTCCAGTTTTTGCTCTCCGAGCCCTTCCGTTCGGGGCTACAAGATCCGTGCATAGCTTCTTGCGGGTTGCGCACAGTCTCTATTGGATTGGCGCCTCTTCGTTAGCTTTGTGCTGGACTGTTTTCTTCGACGATTTTGTCACCCTGACACCGCCATGCCTGGCAAGCTCATCAGAGATGGCGGTGGACGCACTATTCAGGCTGACGGGGTGGAAGTACGCCACCGATGGTGACAAATGCCTCCCTTTCTCCACATGCTTCAGTGCTCTTGGAATCACAGTTAATTTGGAGCACATTCGGGACGGATGGGCCGAATTCGGCAACACTGCCAAGCGCAGAGCTGAGTTGGGTGACACTCTTGAAGCTGTTTGCAACAGGAAAAGGCTCACAGTTAGCGAAGCACTCAGGTTGCGCGGCCGCGTGCACTTTGCGGATGGACAAATTTTCGGAAGAGCCAGCCGCCTTTGCTTAAGGGAGGTTGATAAGCATGTTTTCGAAACTAGCGGTTCAGCTTTGTCAGATGATTCCATAGCAGCCATCTCGAGGTTCGCTTGTTTGTTGCGTGAAGGAGCTCCAAGGAAGATCTCCATAGATGCAGGTTCGCCGTGGTTACTCTTCACAGATGCTTGCTATGAGAAAGAGGCAGCTTGGGCATGTGGGCTTGGTGGAGCAAAGGGAGGCTTTGGGTGAACTCCGCAAAAAGACAATCATCTTCGAAGCAGAGCTGCTCAGTGTTTGCATCGCGTTCGCACTATGGGGCCGGCTCTTTGCGGGCCGCCCGATTGTGTGTTATGTAGACAACAATGCGGTCCGTGACGTTCTCATTTCTGGCCGTGGAAGGTCCAACATTGCCAAGCATCTTGTGGAGGTTTTGCTGAATCTTGAAGACAGCCATTCGGTCTTGACTTGGATTGCGCGTGTGCCTTCGCCATCCAACGTGAGTGATGGACCTTCAAGAGGATTCGTGTCCGAGCTCGAGGCCCAAAATGCCACGTGTTGCAATGTGGAAAATTTACTTGACATTCTACTAAAAGGAAAATCGCTTGACGGTTAAGATGGGGTGATGATAATGCAAACTGTGCTGCATGCGCCCGTGCATAAGTGTATCATACTTGTGTGTTCAGTGACCATTTCGATCCAGATGCAATCTTGGACATCCCATTGTCACCACGAGAAAAGGAGCGTCGACTTTCAATCTTTCGAGATGTGATTTGTATATATTCATATGTGCGCTTGCCCTTTCTTAGGGATTTACTCCTAGGATCATAATACTAGTTCACAGGTTGGCGTCTTTGGTTTGGCTCAAGAAATAAATGCCTTACATGGCTGGCGTTGTGCTTTCAGCACTCGCCCGTTCAGCCCTTGACCAGCTGCAAGCACTGGCTGCCGCGGATGCGTGTGCCGAAGACGACTTGGTAGGGATAGGGGGCTGGGCAATCACATCCTCCCAAGTGGTTTGGTTTGCAACACGCGGGACATGCGGGCCGTATGGCCTTGCCTTGTCAAGCCTGGACAGCGGTGCATCGCATGTTTCGAGACGCTGGCACAGTTAGCACTACTGCAAGCAACCCACAGCCACATTGGTGGTGGGCACTACTCGTTCAGCATGCCTTCAGGCACGGACAATTCCGCAACGGAAGCAAGCCTTAACAAGTTGTTCATGCCCTCCTGGCCGTTGCAACTTTTCGTGCAGTTAACAGCCTTCTGGGCTCACGCTCACAATGTGCTGCTGCAGCCGACGCACGTTCCAGGAAGGTGCAATGATTGGGCAGACGATCTCAGCAGAGGTCGGTTGGCCCGATTCAGCCATCGCCCTGAAAGTCGCATACGCTTCAGCCCTGCGGGCCTAGCAATGTCAGGCCGAGGCATTCAGCTGTGTCCGATGGATGCGCCCTGGCGCCCGGAACACCTGGCAGCTGCCTCCAGCACTGCTTAGCCAGCCTTATTTGCAATTGCGACCAAATGGCCGTCTTCGCCCTGTCAGCCAGAACAACTACTGCGAGCCGCTGACCGAAAAAAGTGCAGACCCTGAGCAACAGGCTGCTCACAGCCGAGCGTGCATTGTCACGCGGACATTTGCCCTGCCAGGTGCAACCCCACTTTGAAGGGCGGGTGATGAGGCCAGCGGCCCAGCTGGCTCGCTTATACCGGGGTTGCCTGAAACACTGAAGGGGGGGTCAACGCACCTCCTGTTCCAGGCGCACCAGTGCCCTGGAAGCAGTGCTACTTTCAGCAACCCCGGTAAAAAGAACTGCGGCCGCTTCGGACTTGCTTTGTTCTTTTGGGGGTTCATGTTTGGGTTCAAGCTAGGAGCAGTGCAACATGCCTTAACGCTTAGGGTTTCTATTCCCTTGTGTTTAGGGCATGTTGTGAATCGAACTACGCGGTGGCCGTTTTGCTCCTAGCCTTGACCCAAACCTGCGGTTTCATTTGAAACCCACCCACCCACCCTGCACTGCCTTACACAAGGCTCTGCAAGTATAGGTCGCAGACGCTCTGCACTTTCGTTGGTGGTCTCCGGACCTCTTGGTCTCCGGACCAGGTCTCCGGACCAACTCTGGTCTCCGGACCATTCAGTCTCCGGACCTTGGGCGCGGGCACGCGTGCCACGCCCTGCAAGCACTGCATTCACTTGCAAGGACACGCATTGTCTTGCCCGTTTTAGTTTCACGGGGGGTCAACGCACCTCCTGTTCCAGGCGCACCAGTGCCCTGGAAGCAGTGCTACTTTCAGCAATCCCGGTAAAAAGAACTGCGGCCGCTTCGGACTTGCTTTGTTCTTTTGGGGGTTCATGTTTGGGTTCAAGCTAGGAGCAGTGCAACATGCCTTAACGGTATCGTTGTTGGCTTATGCGTTTGGGTCAGATATCGCGAACAGCAACTGTACAAGAAGTGTGCCGATGAGCTGAAGAGGATTGACATGCGTATTCGTTTGATGTGACGGAGGAGATCAATGAGATCATAGATGCCATCATAACAGATGACAGCATCGCAAGGAAACTCTTCATGCTGTGGGAGCGAATCAGATTCAGATGCAAGATTTCGTGCAAGGAGCAGCAGAGCAGATTGAGAATTTCAGGTTGGAGCTTGAGAGAAATGGAGACCGGTTTGCATTGTGTAGCACTTGGTCAGTGTGCTTAGCGTTTCACTTTTTTCACAAGGCCCTTGAGCTGGCTATGTGAGTTTGCAGTTGAAGTTTGAGTCAAGTGACAAGAGATTCACTGGCAATCGAACTCAAAACTGTTTGTGAGACGGGCAGTAGAACAGCCATTCTCAGGTGGGGTGTAAACAGTTTTTACCCGTGCTGTGCCCACCTTAAGAGCCCAATACTTTGGAGTACGTGTAAGACACATGTACCATGAACCGACCGCTGCGCATAGGGTCAAGTGTTTGAGAAAAGTCCGCAGAATGTGCCCCCGGTGGATTGGAGCGCGCATCTGTTGACTTTTAAGCCTGCCACTATAACAACCATACCTGGACTCAATGCAGTTCGGTCACTTCCACTTTGGAGCTGTTGCTCTCTGTCGTAGATTCCCTCGAGAGCGAAATGATCGCTTTGTTGGTTGGTGTTGCTTGTTCTCTGTTTTGTTGTTGGGTGCGTTGTTTTTGTCTTTTCTTCGTCTGTGTTGTTTTGGTCGTTTCGTTTGCTCGTTGCGGTTATTGCGGTTTGTCTCACTTCATCTCTTTTAATTGGTGCATCAGGGTTCGTGACCGATGGCAATTGCCCCAAGGCGCGCCGGTGACAAACATGTTGATGATCCTCCTGCGCCGCGGAGGCGTGTTGTTCACGCCTTTCCTGCGGCTGCTGGTGATGGTCAGAAGTAGTATGAGTGAGAGCCTTTGTGGGTTTGCTCCAACGCTGGTAGTGTCCAGCTGTTTGCGGACGTTTGCGACCAGTTAAATCTTGTAAACGGCACGCTCCGCCCGTCAAATGACGGACTCCTCGCGAGGGGGGTGTGACTGGGAAGTGACTACCGGCGTGTTGCGAGAGCAACTATCCGGTGCCACTTTGGCTCAAGTTTGCGGGTCCGTCGCGTCTCGGATGAGCGTCGCCGAGTCCCCGCGTTGATCACCTTCGTGTCGGTAAGAAAGAGACATCGGCCCGGGGCAGATTGGTGTGGTCCGCCCGTGCGGTTCATCGTCGACCAAGGTTGCGGGTGTTTGCATTCTTGCTTTGGTTTATTTCCCTTTTGGTTGTTGTTCTCTGGTGTGTGGGAAACCCTGATCTTTGGGACCGGGGATTGGTTTGCTTTTGGGGAACCTTTCTTTTGTGGCTTGTTTACCCCAACTTACCCTGGGCACGGCTCGTGCCCGAATCACATTTTGAACCTATTTGAAACATACTTTGCAAAACGACTATCTCATTTGTTTGTTGCTTGTCTAAGTTGGTTCAACCATCGCCAATAACAACTATTGAAGTTCAAGTAAAGGCAGAATATCCAGTTTAAAACGCTTTTGAGTTCAAACCAAATTCAATTTTAATCGTTTGCAGTTTCCTGTGCATTTGAAAATTAGCCGGAGAATATCGGTTGAATATCGCTATTGTCATGGCCAAATGAACTTGGAATCAAACTCAACTTGGAAAGGGTTATTGTCCTTATCGGATTCCATGTGGTTTGAACGCAAGAACTGAGCCAAGCCCATGACCGACAAGTGTTTTCAATCATAATTCCCCAGAACGTTTCCCCGCCCTAGATTTGACAGGTCTAGATTTGATAGGTTTTTAGGGCCCTTTTCTGAGGGAAATTGAGCATGCTGTGTTTGCGTGTGGAAACGTGGTTCCACGCAGTGACCAATGCGATACAATATACGCTTTACGCGTGACTGACGCGCAATTGACATTAATTTGGCAGTTTGACTGAGTCACTGTGTATTAAGTGCGGGGATATGGCGAGACACTGCTCACAGGGAGACACTAAATTATTTAATTATTAAAGTTTTAAAGGTCGGTACTTACCCCCTGAGTCGGGGCTGTTTGAAAATTTGATTTGCATTACGTTACTTGCTGCTGCTCGCATGACCATGATACTTATAATTTGCCGATTGACAGAATGGTCCAGGATCCAGACAGGTCTCAGGTGCAGGGTGAGTGGGCCTCACTGATTCATGACCTCATGATGACCTTAAATTGATGTGATTCAATTTGCTTACTTTTCATAGACCTAGGTTGGAGGTTGCCCGCTCCTTAAAAATAGACTGTTAATTGTTACTGTCGATGGTAGGCTGTCACTGACTGACTGATGATCTGTCATGTCTCAGACTGCACGCAGTCCGCGCAGCCGTGTCGTGTTTGCAGATTCTAGTAGTTTTGCCAACATGTCCCGCTGTGCCAAGGCTTGGGCTGGTGCAAGAGGGGGGGGGCAGGGCGGGCGCTTTTTATGATGAATCAGCTTCATTGATTCGATTTGCCACCGCTTTGACAAGTATTTAATAGAGAAATGAATCATGGAAACCACCAGCGCACGAATACTGT